GCAACGGTTCGGATTCGTACAAATGTAACGTATACGTACCCGTCGCCAATCGCCTTCTGCCCCTCAGGTAACTTATGACTTTTGGCATTGGTTTCCCATCCCCACTAACCCCCTCCCCCCCTGCCGAGTGCACAAATGTGTGTACGGATGAGCATGAGCTGGTATTATGTTAAACTTTATGTGCTCTTGCCATGGTAACAGGTCAAACGGGGCACAGCATCGGATGGCCACCGTCGAAAGCAGGAATGAAAGTTATTAAAAAGCGTCCAGCTACGGTACAGATATGGCTCCCAAGCATTGCCATGGCATCCAATATGCTGGTAGCTGGGAGCATCTGCTGTGTATTGGAATCAAGTGTTAGAGGCAGCGTACCGGTACCGGCAATTGAACGCAGCTGGGAATTTGTTCTGTGAAGGAGTCAATCGCCTCCTAATTGGCTCAGGACGAACGAAGGGTTATGCAGGGATTATTTCCCATTTGAATGATATGGAAAAACTGTATTAGAGGATGGAAAAACTTGCAGTAAATCGTGTGGGGATTCAAGCAACCTGCTGCGCTGCAGCACTGAAGGTTCACTGGAGGTTCGGCCTGATTTGCGCATAGGGCTTTTCAAATGGATAATTAAATAAATATTCAGGAGCCGAGGAGCAAATTGCAGCTGGGGCCTGAGCAAGCTTGAGGGCACTTCCCCACGCACCCCATGGCGGCCAACCAGGGCCGGGCCACCCACGCGACACGAAACGCTGAGTGCGGCGGACCAATCCCGTCGGAGACGACGCTTCTCCGCCAACGCTAGACGCCTTGCCGACTGGGGCATGCGCTGAATGTGCCTTGGGTGCGAGCGGGACGGCCACAGATGGATGGGCAGAGTGAAAGAGAGGCGCCTCGTGCCCTCGGCTCACCTGTTGGCAAGTGAATATTGCGCATACGCCGCGTACGAACAGCGCCAGCGCACGTGACAACAACGATGCCAGCGACAGCGCCAGCGCCAGAGTCGGCGCTAATACCCAACAGGTAAGCCGATGGCGTAGGCGTTGCACTTGCACCGGCAGAGCTTTCGCCCTCCCTTCGCCTCACAAATGGCGAATGATGTTGTGTGGTGGGGAGAAGGGGGATTGCATTCGGATAGCGCGCTGCCACGAACGCCTGCAGCAGGCAATTTCAAATCGGAAATAAATGACAAGCCTTGTCGAACATCCCCCACCGCCCGTCATAGCTAATATATATAGATACGAATATCTCGCATCCGAATCGAAGGCCAGGCTTTGGACTCGACTTTGGCCAATGGCAGGACTCTGTGTCCGAATACACGTCACGGGGGTGGCCTCGGCTTGACTTATCAGGCCTTCAGACCGTCAAATTAGGCTTCTTATTGGGGGGCAGAACACACGACTCCTATGCACAATATACGAGTGTGTGTATGTATATGGCTGCCGTTTAGATAGATGCAATGGCCGGACTATGCCGGCGCTCTTCACTCACACATTAATCAGTGGGCCTGCCCAACCTTGCAGGTGAGATGCATGCACGATTGTCCATATTTGAATGACCATAAAAGGACATGTTCATGGCCACGGCCATGTCCACGCAAACATACTATGTGCAAATACATACTGCAACAGTGCACTATGCACATATGTCTATTCATTGAGCTCTTTGGCATATATACCCCGCCAGAAATGACTCCCCTTTTCACTGTCATCAAAGCATTAATGTTAATATTTTGTTTCTTATTACCAGCAAGATTAAAGGAAGTCGACAAAAAATGTATTCATATCTTTACTAATTGGGGTCTTCTCTCATAAGTTCCATACCAAAACGAGAAGGAGCTTGTGAGTCGCTTCTGGGGACGCGACTCTATTTATACCCGTACTCAGTCAGTATATACATTTTTGAGCTTATGATTTTTTAGAATTTTAGAAAAAACGAGAAGGAACGTGTGAGTCGCTTCTGGGGACGCGACTCTACTTATACCCGTACTCAGTCAGTATATACATTTTTGGGCTTATGATTTTTTAGAATTTTGGAAAAAAAAAAAAATTTACGTTTTACATTTTTTTGCTACATCTGCTATCTACATCTACATATACAATGTATATTCTACATCTAACATGTAGATTGTACATGTTCCAATTAGATTCTACATCTCCTTCGCTAGGGGTTGCTCGCGCACTGAACGCAGCAGAGTGTGCGAGCTAGAAGGAAAATGAGTTATGTTGTTGTTTGCGGGAGGGGGCAGGGGAAGCAACTGAAAATTAATTTCTTCATTCTGGCTATAATTATGATCCGATCTGATTCAGATTCGGCAGTCTGGTAGGTATGGGCATTCTCTACGATACTGCGATTGTGCCTGCCACAGATTTACGTCCTTTGTGTGGGCGGAAGGGGGCGGGGCGAAATTTTGAAATACACTTGTAGCAGTGGGATATCACATGAGTCTGGAAACAAAATTTGGTTCCTCAAGCTTTTATAGTCTCTGAGATCCAGGCGTCAAACAAGACGGACAGACGGACAGACAGACATGGCTCTATCGACTCGGCTATTGATGCTATTGATGCACTTTTACCACAAATCTAATATACCCCTTAACTCTTTTTTGAGTACGGGTATAATAAAAAAATTCGTGTCCTAAAATGGGTGTGCTCAGGCATTTCAAATAGGACTTTTAACACAAATTTTTAAACAACAAAATATATAAATTTTCTTGTATTTTTCATCTTAAACTGGTTTACTGTGTTCTTTGTCCTGGATTAATTAGTAAGGATATGTATCAATTATTTCTCAGCTCCCAATGGTTTTTTTTGTTGGTTTCTTAAATTTGACTTTTATTTTTGAGTTTAATTATAAAAATAATTATTATAACCGAAGATTATCCCTAGTTAAGTTAAACGAAATTTTGTATTGTGTTATTTTATATATTTATGTATTTTTGTTATATATGTATTTAATTTATAATGATCCCTGCTTATTAGTGTTAATATTCGCCTGTTCGTAGTAATATACATTTGTGTATGTACATATGTATGTATGTACTGCTGCGTAAATTTGAACATAAATAATCGAAGAACTTCAAATTCGTAAAAGGGAATCCAAGTTTTTGTGGGAGAACAATTTTGTATGTATCTAAATGTTGGTTAACTTAGAAACAAATGATTTAAAAATTTAGAAAAATTTAGAAAAATGTAGAATAATTTAAACAAACTTGTATAACGCCTAAAACTTGGCTATACATTTGCGTATGTTATGTTTTCGAACTTTAAATATAACTATTGTAATTATCTAGACCAAAATCGGGAATCTTTCGATAAGCATATCACCGTATACGGGTATATTTAATAAGACAATAATAATGCTTTGAAAAGGTTGAGGCAGCTCGTTAATATGCATACAATAAAACCAGCAGAAAAGAGTTCATGGAATTAATTCATCTGGTAGAATTCATGCAGATGCACTTAATACCCAGAAAGCTTCTCTTGTGAGATAATTTGCCTCCAGCATTTTGCATTTGATGGCCTTCTTTTGACTGAAAAGATTCTATTCAAATGTCTATTAATCTGGTACACGCGCAGGCAAAACATTTGATTCCACTTAATTAGTGGGGGGCAGTGGATTATGGTGTAGGAGGGAGGGAGCTGGGGTCTGTCTCCACCTCCACGCTCATTATGAAAATCCATTCAGTTTCGCGATGGCTTATCATTGGCTAGACAAGCAGGATATAACATCTGCTGCAGCATCTCGGCAGCAGTAGCAGTAGCAGCAGCAGCAGCAACAACCAAACGACCAGCGAGTACATGCAACAGCAGCAACATCAAAGGCAGTGCTGCCCCTTCTCAGCCATGTCCGCCAGCGAGTGCTGAGGAATGCGAATGCCTTCCCCTAAACGACCGACCGAACGCCAACGCGCGAACACACAAGCCCCGAAAATTATTACGGTACATGTATATGTATTGTATATACATACATACATACATACATACATGCGTACATATATTGCTACCCCGTGGAATCACCTGGCCGTACATAAGCCTGTTGCTGTTGTCGCTGTTGCTGCTGCTGTTGCTTCCTACATGTTGCTGCCACTCTGCCGCTGTTGGCGTCGGCGTCGTCGTCGTCACGTCGTCATGCTAGTTGTTACAGTTACACACTTTCCACTTGTTGTTTCGGGGACGAACGAGGACGAGGACGAGTGCACGGCAGAGCAAAGCAAAGCAGAGCAAAGCAGAGCAGAGCAGCGCAGCGCAGCCGAAGAGGTGACACGAGGCTGCCTCGTCAGTTGGCCAAGGAGCTGAGCAACAGATGCTGTTCAACATCCAAGCCCGAAGGTTGTGTGGCACGCAACAGCAACAGGAAACAGAAAACAGAAAACGGAAGAGAACACCAGCAACAGGACAGAAACAGAACAACGGCAGTTGGAACAGGCGCAACAGTCGGCAGTGGCGGCCAGACCAGAAGGAAGAAGGACGAGCAGAGCCCAAAAGAGCAGGAGAAGAGCAGTCGAGGAGGAGAAACGCCAACCTCCCCCCGCACCCATTTCCGGCCCATACCCGCTCCCATATCCCCTGGCCAATATCCATCGCCAATCGCCCATCGCCAATTGCCAATCGCCATTTTCCACAGCCGTGTGCCACACATGCTGAGCGTGCAACAAGTCAGCCTTCTTCGAGTATATTTTTTTGAAAGTGTTTAACCCACAAGTGTCAAGTGATCAACAGTAAAAGTTTTTCGTTTTTTTTTTTGTTGTTGTTGTTTGTCGTGGTGCTTCAATAATTGCAATAGTTCAACAAAAAACACAACCCAACGATTACTCAACATACCTGAAAACAGAAGAAACTAAAGTACAACCACCAACCAGAGCCCTGAAACATTCACAAAACATACACAAAGATGTAGCTGTATACACCAGATACAATATATTTATATATATACACCCAGACATAGATCATTGTATAAATGTTATGCCCAGCAATTAAAATTATTCGTACACTCTACACTCAACGTTGTTGAATCCTCTTCAAATATACATACAAACAAAAAAATATATCAGACACTAAGAAAATCTAAGAATATATAAGACATATCAACTAAAGATATCGAGCCGATATTCCACTGAAGAAATCGGCATGCAAAGTACTAACATAAAACGAAACTAACGAGAGAGTCCACGATTCCAAGGAAGCAAAAAATGTGAGTATTTATTGCTACTTGATTATAATATTGTAATTATTTTTGCACTTAGATTATAATTCTATTATATTATTTATGCATTTACACACACATATTTATTATATATATTTTTCACGCTGGTTTTGCCATAAAATGGAAATTAGTTTAACAAATTGTTTTGGTGTCCTGGCTGACCCCACCAACCAACCGCATGGAGTTCGAAATCCGGCAATTGTTCGTGGCAATTAATGTTGCAAGTAGTGGTCAGTGGAAACGGGTCCCCAATTAAACTCCAATTGTTATGCAAATTCGATATAATGCATTTGCACTCAATCAAAATCTCTCGCTCGTGTCCAGGACGTGCGCTGACCAATCTGTCCATTTGATATTAATTTAAAATAGCAACGAAATTGCTATATTGTTATAGCTCTGCCACAAATCCCCGTGCACATGCACAGACACACTAGCAATATTACTATGATTCAATTATCTGATTCGGCATCCAGACCAGCCGGGAAGCCCCTGTAAAACCAATTCCAGCAAATGACTAAAGCAGAAATTCGCTTTTGAACAAGAAACAGAGACAACGCCATCGCCAGCAAAGGTCAGACATCAGCAAACTGAAAGAAACTTAAACATTTTCAATTAGCCAAGATACATTACCAGAATTATTTCCGCCCGAATCCCCAACAGTGTTTGATGTCCGATTGATGAAAGAGATTGCACAGCGTCTCGTACACTTTTATCAAAAGACAAATAAAACAACTTTTCATTAATATTTACTCCCCTTAAGTATGCCCATTACATAAAACTAGATTACCCTAGTGGTTGTTTCTTCACTTGAGACCAAAGAAAACTTCAATTTTCAAGCCATTTTTCCCACCACCCAATTTTCAGCGACTATGCGAAACAAAAAAATAGCAACAAAAAACAAAAAATCACTGAAAGTATGTTGGCTACCGTTCAAAGGAGCCCAGAGAATTCGCTTAATTAAATTCATTTAAAATGCCAGCCAAAACGTAGCTGTAATTTTGTTGTAATATTTACAAAAAAAATTATCGAAAAACTTTGCATTCTTTAATATTGGATGAAGAACAACAAAAATATACAACTTGCAAATAATTATCTCGAAATTTATTTTTATCGAGAAAACAATTCGTATGGATGGAAGTTTGAGGTGATGGAAAAATATCTCCCAACGTCAGGTTAAGTCTCAACTGATAAAAACTTCCTTTACAGAGCAGAGTGTCTGTGTGGCCATTTTTCATTGGGTTTTCCATAGTTTTCACTTGCAAGTTTTGCTGTCCTTTTGACTTTTGTGTTCACTTTGGCTTTGGAATAGTTAAAAAGTCAGCAACAAATCGGAAACGAAAACCCCTCATCCCCCTCGCCACCCATACAACCAATAGTTCAGAATTGTTTATGAAGTTGAGTTTCCCTTGCTGCTTGGCGTCTGCTGTGCGCTTTTCAATGTTCCATCTGCACAGGTAAGTACCCAATCGAACAGTTCAAATTCTAATTCAAGTTCAAGTTGCGATAAGTTGTCGCCGGGCAATTGACAGCAGTGCAGCACTGGGACTGGGAGAGTGCGTCGCAGAGTGCACTGCCAGTACAGTAGCTACACACATTAAGAAAGCTTATTATTACACATATGTGGGCATTGCACTTAGACAAAATAACTATTTCGTATTATATTATTGTACAAAAAATCTGCATTTAAGTAAATTTAATCATTTTTTCTCAATCGAAAATGAAGTCTAATTGACTGAATTATTTTTCGACCAGTTAACCCATTCGATGATCGAGTTGCTGGTGTTCTTGGTACTCTCTGAATAATTTGGGGATTTCTTCAACTCTCATTAACTGATATCACCTGCAGTGGGCTGTGTACTTTGTGTACACACTGTAATTTGCACAAATGGACGGGCGGGACTGTGGGTAACCTGCCAAACGATTCTATATGTCGAATATTCCCGTTGCCCACTTTTGGGCTGCGCCATTGTTGAAAACTTTGTGGGTGGTGAGTTGGGGGGAGAGAACACCCCCTCGCTCTGGTTGCTTAACGGAAAACAGCGACACCCAGAGCATATCCCAATAAAATGAGCAGCTATTTTTAGAAACTGTTAACACAGAGAGGAGCCTACACGCTCAAAATGATTGAATCGACTGTGATTGTGCGTGTGTGCTCATGCTCATGGGTACAGTTTCGCACGGGGTGTTTGGCATAGCGTGAGGAAGGGAGGTAGGGAGGGCCTGCTTAATTCGACAATCATTTGTAAAATCAGAGGCATTAGTCTGCTTGATGCCGGCTCCTGGCCGCTGACTGCTGGCTGCTGATGCCGCTGGCCCGAACCAGAACCAGAACACAAACCCAAAACTCCAAACCCGGCAGAGCCCGCTCGCCTTGCCTTTGTCCTTGCCGTGCATCCTCTTACGCTCATTAGTAGCACATTTACCGAGTACGTGATTTAGCTGCAAATGTGCAAAGGAGCGTGCGACAAAGCATGGGGGTGTGTGGGGCCGCCGTGCCGGCCTCAGCCCAGTGCTGTACTGCTCCAAGCTTACGGATAACTGTTGCTTGTGCCGTACGTGAGTTGGCGAGACATTGGGGAATTTACTGGCGCACTCGCACTCGCCATCGTACTTTGCCACATCTCCGAAATCCAGCATGCGAGTAAATTTGCATTTCGGTGACCATGCCTGGCCAGCCCAGTCGATACTTGCCGGAGACAACGAGCGTCCAACCGTCCGGGGAGCGGAGCCGCCTTTGGGGGCATGTGCACACATTTGCAATTCGCATGCATGAACCGTAATGCTGGATGGGAAATTGTTGCCCCAGCCAGCCCCAGGCGTTCGGCAGTGGGGAAGCCCCCTCTGCACTTAGCATTGCTTTGTTCGGACAGCAGTTGGAATATCTTTTCGGGGGCCTCCTCCAGTCAAGCAGGGACGCTGACAGTCCTTTCACTTTCCCTGTTTGCTTGTTAACTTCCATCGATAAGTGGCAAGACACTCCAACAGAATGGCTTAGACACTCCAGCGCACACACAAACTGATCAATGGCTGTCACATTTCCGGCACATGGTAGAGCTTCCGAGCGACAGTGGGAACAGAAAAGCAATGCCCGTTGAAGGGACGGTGACGGGCACGAGGGACAAGAACGGACGCGACAAGTTGATTTACACAGTCCCTTCCTTCCGCTCTGGCGATGCGTGCTATACCCGATGCTCGCACAGATATTGTTTCGTTTTGCCAGCGCACAACAAAACCCCACCGACCCCTCTAAGGGATACGGATACGGGTATACGGGGATACGTTGCACCTATACTCGTACGTAGGGCTACACTACACTTATGGTTCAATGAAAATGTTCACTCAATTACGCTTTAAGACTTAATTCACCAAATTGAGGCGAATGTCGTTAGCAGGAGCCGGAGCACCAGCCGGAATCGAAGTCAGGCATGAGAGTTTCTCTCTCTCTCTCTCTATCTCTCTTATTCTTGCCGCTAGACGGGCAGTAAAACTCTTTCCAAGGCGGGCACACACATACATATGTATACATATATGTACAGTTCTGCTTCTGCTTTGGTATTTGTATGCACAACCTAAACAACAGCTTCCTTCAGACCATAGTCCACAGGAAAGTCCTTAGTCCGCAGTCCTTAGTACTCTTAGTTTCTGGATGATGCTGGCCCACATATGCTTTATGTCGTGATGTCGTCATGTCGCCTCCATCATTGTCATGGACTTTATTATGGCTTCCTGATGCGCTTAGCTTAGCCAGCCAGCCAGCCAGACAGCCAGGCCCCACTGCTTGCACTGCTTGCCGCCACACTGCATGTCAAAGTGTATTTTTGTGGACGTGTGTGCATCTGTGTTTGCCATGCAATGTTGTGGTTTTTCAACAGAAGCAGCAAGCAGCAAGCCAGTGCAAAATAAATGAATGACAACAAAAATTATTGTTAATTGTGGCTTAGTTGGAACTGACTTTGTATGCAGTCCGGTTTCATCTTTGCGCTCTTGCGGTTCGCCAATTCCAGCAACTGAATTCCAGCATTTTTTGTTTTGTTTTTTGTGTTGCCTGTGTTGCAGTCTGCAGCTGGCAGTCACTGGCCACTGTTCAGGTGCTTTTTTGTCACATCGAACAAACAGCAGAGGCGCACAGCTCACACTGAAATTGAGATAGATAAGTTATGTTATTAGATTAGATTACTATTATTTGCACACACACACATGCTCGCATTCTTGGATTTATTTGCATTATCCAATATAATTAAATAATAAAATTACTAAGCCTCAGCGCAGGGTATTTCTGTATTAAATATCCCTAAAATATGTTCGATTCAATGGTCGATGCCGATAACCGATCAATCGATAGCCGACACTTGCAGTACCGTTTAGTTCTGAGCTTCCTTTGAGCTTCGATTCGAAAAATATTGATAGCTGATCTCGGGACGAGCCCCAAAAAACTACGACCCCCTTCCACGGGTATTCCAGGGCTGAGCAGGTGGCTGGGTATAAATAAATGGGGCAACGGCAGCGGCAACCCACCCCCGCAACTCCGCACCATCGCACAAAACAAGCTTTAAAAATGCACTCAAGCGTTAGAACTCAATCGATTTGATGCTGAAAATAAACGCCAAGGGAAACGCCGGGCCGAGTGTTCTCGAACATGGGAGAGGAGTGTGTGTGTGCTGCTCATATGTAAAGTTATTACATTACAGTGTGGGTGTACGGTTGTCATGCTCCAGCAGATTGCAGATGGCAGCACGAAAGATTTGGGAAGCCATGCAGATATGTGGGTGTATGTGCGTGTGTGTTTGTGTGTACTTTGGGCAATCCCCCAACCAACACCACAACCACAGAAATTAACACAATTCGAGAGTCGAACTGGCTGCAACCTCAACACAAAGACCAAGCGCCAAAAGGCATGTTACAGGTGCCACATGCCCTGCCCCTGCCCCTGACCCAACCACTGCTGCACCTCCGCACAAATGGTTTATTCAAGTGTGCGCCATAGAATTTCCAAGTTGAATGCATGTCAGGAATTGTAAAGGCCCTCGCACACACGTCACACTTCCTTCACAATACCCATGCAGCCAGCACACGCGGCCTCAGCCGCAGCAGCCACAGCAGCCGCAGTCGCAGCCACAGCCACAGCCCCCCAGACCCACTACGGCCTACTCTGAGCTCTGGCCCCCTGCAAGGTCAGCGTCAATGGCCGCTTAATATAAGCAGTGCCGCCCAGCAGCGATGGCAGTCGACACTTAGCGACTGGCCTCTCGCCCAGGCTAATTACAAATCAAGTTTCAGTCCAAGTTGGGCAATGCCTGCCAGCGATATATTCCTACTCCTACATCAAATACGAGTATGTATCTCGCAACTTTAAAACAGTTCAAAAAAAGTTCCCATGGACACCCTCAGAATATATAACTGACCCAGAGAGACAGAGACTGGGAGAGAGAGAGAGAGAAGTGAAAGTGAAGGTGACATGGAAATCCAACAAATCCAGCGAATCCATCCACCCCCATGGTCGTGGCATGGTTGTAGCCTGCTGATGAGGCACATCCATTACCACATGGGTTCCATTCAGAATGGAGCAGCCCCAGCCTTGCCCCAGGCACAGACGCTATGCAAGTTTGTGACAATATTGCATTAGTATCCGTGTGGGTGCCATTGTGTTTATGCTTATGTTTGTGTTTGTTTTTGTGTGTTGTGTTCGTGTTCGTGTGTGTGTATCGTGTGTATCCTTGTGTGGCTGTGGATGGCTGATGTTTGAATGGTAATTTAGTTGTGTTGCCTTCGCTGTGGTTGGCACTTGAGATAATTACAAAATGGAGTTCAAAACAGCTGCGACATGAGCAAGAGCAGCAGCGGCAGGAGCAGCGGCAGGAGCAGGCAGGCAGGGAGCGGCAGGCAGGCAGCAACAGGGTCACATGTCAGAGGACGAATTCAATTCCATTTTATGTGTGTGTGTGCAAATACGGGCTGGCATCAGCCAACGATAACTGCACCTGTCCACAAATTAATGGGGCACCCATGCATTACTTTGAATAATAAATAAAAAATGCACTAAGCTAACAAACAAAAAACCGCTGCATAAAATCAAAATAAATTACATTCCTTTGGAATATTTGCAAGCCTTCATCGAATATTTTTGCAAGCCTTTGCAACTTTCACACTCAGTTTCTCTCAGTGCATGTGTGCGGGGAATTGGATTGGCGCATGTCAATTCATGAATAGGATCCATGCTGACCGATCCAATGGCAAAATCAGAAATCAGAATCAGCTGGAATTCCAATCAAATGGGTTGCATGCGAATCACGGGAGGTCGTCGGATACTGCTTCGATTTCAATCTGGACAACGGACAATGAACAACGGGGGAGCGTACATTGGACATTGGACAACGGACAGCGCACAGCGCTGGACAAACATATGTGGGATGGATGTTAAATGCCACAGTATAGGGCACAGTGGCAGCTGTATATATACACATATAAAATGTTCATAGCTAAAATATTTTCGATATTTTGTTAATGCAATTTTTGGACTGCCACTGTCCCCGCTGTCCCCCTGGAGAGTTTCCACTGAAATATGTAAAGTATTTCATTGTCAGCGGAGCACTCTGGCAGCCGTTCCGCGCGGAGTCGTTTCACTGGCTGGTCTGGGTAAATCGATGCTACCTACACATTTTTCTTTAATATGAATTTGTGGCATGCAACGGTGTGGGATGGTGATGGGAGGATTGGCAGGACAGAGTCAACTCCACTCGGTCCGCGCCACATGCCATCCATCGTGGACATATTTTCCATGCCGTCCAGCAGCGGCCTCGACTCTTGTGACAAAATATTTTGATTTCAAACATTTTTGCAGGCGTGTTTTTCTTTTTACCGTTAACGTTGTCTCTCCTGGCGCTCGGTAGTTCGCCAATTTTGAAGCCAATTTAATGGGGGAAGAGGAAAAATAGATGCCATTGTCAGTACCCATCCAGAGAGAGAGAGAGAGAAAAGGCCATGCCCGGTTAGCTGTCCCTCTGCTCCGTGCGTAGGAGATCAATTAATTCCTCTGACATACTCTTGAGCTGCCTATTCTCCATTTGAAATTCCAAAAGGGAAGTGTAAACTCTCTACAACAGAGCATTTCGTTCATTGGTCGGGTCGGTGTAGCTGGGGGGCTTCTGTGTATTTGGTTTCATTTTATTTGATGTGATTTGCTGTGGCAGCAGCCGTTTTGTCAGAACGAGTACAACTACAAGTATCTCCTGTGGCAATTGCTGCTGCCTGTTGCCTGTTGGTTGGCTGTCACAATGCCTGGCCCGGGGAGGACAGATATGAGGACAGGGAGCAGACCACTTTATTTCTCGTTATCGTTGGCATTTGACCCCAGACCAGACCAGACCATACCAGACCCTAAGACCTCTTGCTGCACCCTTCATATTGCTGTCACAACTTTTGCCATCGCATGGAAATGTTATGCAAATACCAGAAGCCAGGCAGCAGGGCAGGCAGTCAGCCAGGCAGCACCACTGACAGTGACAGCAAAAACAGAAACAGAAGCAGAAACTGAAACTGTAGTTCACATTTTTTGTATCCATCAATTTCCCAAACCCACAAAGTGCACACACACACGCGTGCATTGTGCAGCCATATCAGTGTATGAACAGAACAGCATAAAATCCACAAAAATGTGTCAAAGAAGCGAATTGCAAATAGTTTTACGACCCAAAACTAATATGTATGTTTTTCGGTATTGAAACCAATATTAAACTCATGTATTCCACACGCCTGTGTAAATGCAAATATTCGCATTAGCGAGAATTTAATTTACAAACTACGCGAGCGGGCAAGTGATTTTTCTGCCGTCCTACACCACAATTTATGCTTTAATTTAATTTAGTTAATTGATGGCTGAAATACTGTGGAAACGAGAAGGAACGTGTGAGTCGCTGCTGGGGACGCGACTCTTCGTTTATACCCGTGTGGTGACACTCGTAGAAGGCCTTGAATGTGAGAGCCGGCAAACAAAAAAATGTATTTGAAAAAAATATAAAACAGTCCCCACCCCGAAATACGTCAGAAGTTCCAGTCCTGACTGTTCCCTTTCTGATTAAAGTCTTTCAAATATATCCGGAATACTTAACATAATGGAAAAAAGCTCGACTGGCAACGACCAGAACACCGTAGCGGAGATGCCGTCTACCAGTTCGGCCTTGGGGGAACAGAAGCCTCTTGCTGGAACCATGGAAAAGGATGAAGCACCAGCTCGCTGCTGGTTGATCTCTCCCGACGAGTATTCGGGCTTGGGAGAGCAGACGGTGCCCCTGCGCTCGCTCTTCGACTTCTTGCCCCTGGAGGAAACTCCCATGTACGTTGGAACATTGCCGCACAGGTGAGGCAACAGGTGAGGGACAACGCGGGGGCCACTTTGCAGGTGAACATCGAGGATAGTCGGTTCTACTGCATACCAAGGCTGCTCAAGTGCTATTCGGTGTGGTTTGCAAGCCGCGATTGGCGTGCCAACAAGTTCAACTTTTTGCCAAGTCAGGTGCCGGCCAGAGGGTTCGAGTGCGCCTACGAATGGTTGCGCTTCCAGAAGCTGCCCAGCACTGCGGACGTGGTCTATACACTCCAGGTAGCCAAGTACCTGAAGATTGACCTGCTTGAACCCATATGCTGGGCGGTGCTGAACGCCGATAGTCTGCGCGAGAAGGCTGCCTTTATGGTGTTTCGGCAGGCAAAGCCATACCCGGATCTGCAGGATGTGTGCAATGCGATGAGCGGAAGGATTCGCAATTACTTCCTAGCGCTCGTGGGGAGCGAATACTTCACCGAGCTATCAGTTGACGACCTGGAAAACCTACTCAAGCGCGACTCCATCGGCGTCAACTCCGAAATAGAGGTCTTCTTCCTGGTGCTGCGCTGGATGAACCTGGCGCGCCACGAAAGGGTGCAGCATCTGGGCCGCCTAATGGACTGCGTTCGATTCAGTCTCATGCCGATTGCCTTTCTGTGGACACTGCGCGACGGTTTTACGCACCCGGACAAGGATCACCTCTTCTCGGCCGACCCCATGCTGCTCGCCTTCTACACGGATCCCAAAACCGAAACGATCATTACCGCTGCCTTGTCCTACGTAGCCACGGCTGATGCTTTCCTTGGCGACTATGACAGCTATTTGGATCACATGAAAGAGCATCGTTTGCCAGTGACCTATCCGCGCAAGTACGTCTACCATCACCAGTGCCCGTACCACCAGCTCGTGCTAGGAGTTTCTGGCGTACAACTAAATTTCAAAGCCAACGACATTGAACAGTACATCGGTGGCTTGCAGGAGCTGTGGAAGGGAGACGGGCCGCCATCGCATGGGGACGAGTTGGTCGCCGATGCGCAGCAGGACCACTTCGCCAATAATGCTGCAGTTGTTTTATGTTGATTTATATCTATAATAAATAATAACTGCCGCTTACTGGAACCAACAGCTATTTACCGTCACGTATTTTTTGTGTTTTGATTTTTTGATGTACAAGAGAATTTGAAGTAAGCCGAGAGCGTATGTGCAAGCTCTGTGCTCTGCCCAACACAGCCCAACAAACCCGTCTCTCTACGATAATACTTATCGTATTGAGTCCGTACGGTCTTTCAAGGATTTTTAGCCATTTAGTGCGAGTCCATATATCGGTGATGACATAGAATCTCTAGTCCTCCAGGCAGCATCGTAGTTTTCTAATCGCCCATATGACAAAATAAAAATTCACTGAAAAATAGGAATTTATTGACAAAGTTCATAATACGGCAGCAACGAAATTCGAAGTCGAAAGCCGACGGCATTTGCACAATATTCATTGTGCAATTTCAAATAGATCAAACCAATGTTATTGGTTTTATTTTATTTGGGGGGGGGGGGAAAGGGGGGGGGGGGGGGGGGAAGGGAGAAGACCAAAAAAAGGGGGGGGGGGGGGGGGGGGGGGGGGGGGGGGGGGGGGGGGGGGCCCCCCAAAAGGAAGGAGCGGGGAAAAATATTTTTTATTTATTTCTTTTTTTAATTAAACTACTGTTTTTTAACTACGTTTTTTTTCAAGTCAGACAAAGTTTTGGATGTCTGCTTTCATATTCATTCCGAAACGTTTAAGAACGTTTAAGAAACGCTTAAGATTATTGCTGATTCAGACTGAGCTCAGGACCATTTCCCGGCCAGTCCAATGTCCTAATTCCCATCAATTCCTCTGGGTGTTGCAGGAGCCTCTGTGTGTGTGTCTGTGTGTGGTCTGTCTTTGACAGAATTGATTTGAATTTGCCAGAAGTTTGTCTGCGGCACAAAGTGATTATTTTCATTGTGGCAAGTGCGGCACATTCTGAGGTTGAATACGAAATCGCAATGCGATGACAGGTCTCGGTCTCGGTCTCGTTCTCGTTTTCCTCACGGAATTATGAAACTTTTGGCTCTTTGGTACAGGAATGTTTCTGTGTGTGTGTATGCTGAGCCTGTGCCTGTGGCTGAAAAGGAAGTTTTGGGCGCTAATTAAAAGGTCAACACACAAGTGACAGAGGGACGCACTTTCTGAGGCCCCCCACCCCACACGAATTGCGTCACTTTATCGAACCCATAGCAGGGGCAGAACTCAGGGGGGCAAAGCCTTGCCAGTGACTGAAAAGGGAACGGTTCTTGGTGGCACGGTGGATCACTGCCCGTACCCCCCGCTGATTCAATTCGCTTCAATTCATGTTGAAAATCGCGTCAACGGAAAAACAGGCATCTGGGCCACCCTGACTGGGTACCGCGTCGTATCTGACTGACTGCCCCACCAGTACCCGTCGCTCAGAAGCGAGACACACAGAAAAAGAACCAAAGGCGATGAGTCGAGAAGATTTATATACCCTTTAATGTGGCAGCTTTCCGATGTCTTGGCAGGAGAGAATCACCAAAAAATACAAACTTATTTTCTTCGGCGATTGCTGGGTATTGGTTTTATTACAAATAATTTTTGTATTAATTTTGTATACACTTTTGTTCTGGTTCGGCGTATCAGAAATGATTTGTACAGCAGTCCCATAAATTCTGCAGATAAAGAAGATCCGATATTAGCCAGAACATTGGCCAAAGCAGCAGAAACTGACAGATGAAGACTGAATGTGGTGGGGCATATTGTAATACCCTTCGCATGGGTATGTCCAAAAAGCGATGCTGCCAGTGTATGTGGGTGTTTTGTGTGTGTAAAATACCCCCACCCCGACTGCGCCTGATCCTTGTTGCCGTGTTCCCCTAACACCCCCTGCAAGTTCCACCTGTGGGGCTGTCACACGAAAGGCAAATTTTAATGCAAACATTGACAGGTAAGCGGCATATGTGCGAGTCTGTGACTGCGTCCATGTATCGATGTGTATGTGTGTGTGTGTGCGTGGGTGTGTGTGTGTGTGGCAAGGCAACCAAGCGTATAAGCCAGGCAAAAACCAGAGAAAAAAGAGAGGGCAACAGGAGGAACAGCGGCCGAGGCACAGGCAGAGGCAGAGCCATGACACTGTATCCAGGCACTCAGCCATGGAGCCAATTGTGTGACTGTGTGTGTGTCTGTCTGTGGTGTGTGTGTGTGTGTATCTGTGTGTGCCATTATTGGCAGCTTAGGCAGCACACACAAAAAAAATATAGAAAATGCGAAAAACAAATCGAAAAAATATTAACAACTTATTCCTTTTGATTTTTTTATTGGGCCAAGGGCTGTTGCCACGCTTATTCAGCCAGAATTCATTGCCTTCTTTGCCGTCTTTCTGGCTGTGTACAAGTGGTGTGCGTGTGTATGTGTGTGTGTATGTGCCACTTAAAGCCTCAACTGAACTCTTTTCTCTCTGGCTGGCCGTGCTGCCCCTTTGCTTTTGAATGGCTTGAAATGGCAACCGATTCTGCTGGCTAATGGTCCTAATGCCCAGGCCGCTCAGCTCCAGCAGCAGCTACTTCGAACTGTGTGTGGGGTCAGAGAGGAGGAGGAGAAGAAGAGCAGGGTACAGGGCTCTCGCCTGAACCAAAGAAGTGGCTTACTGAGCTGCGGTGATGGAACATGCAGATTCGAAGGGAAATTCACCAATTTAATATCAAAATTCACTTAGTTACCCATGGATTGGAGCTTCGTAAATTGATTCGATAATTTATATTAATCGAAAAATGCTATTAATCGATCGGCAGCCTTTGGTAATTCGATAATCAACTCAATTTTCTATATTTAGGTTCTATTTTATTGCCTTATACTATTACAACCCATTATGCACTGTGCTGCTTTTATCCCTGCTCCGCATCCTACTGTTTTTTACGCTTCCATCTTGCCTGCTCGCATTTCACGCCCCCATCACCCCGTGTTAATGGCTCTATATTGTACATACACTTATGGCGCGCTGGTGCCGTGGCTGCTCTTGTGAAAGGGTGAGGGGGATGGAACGGGGGAGGGAGGCGCAGGCTCCCCAATAACGTAGCAACAACAAACAGTCGCGCACAAAATTAATGATATTTTAATGTAAAAACAATACCAGCCACTTAAGCCGCATTCATATCAATGCCACCCACTGAATCCGCCCCCCCATCTTATGTGAGTGTATGTGTATGGCACCTTTTACATACAATTATATGTGTGTGTGTGTGTGAGCTTTTCAATTTCCCGGGAAATCGAGTGAGACTGGGGACTGAGACTGAGCTGTGGCTCTGTAGCCCTAAGCCCAAAGCTGATGAGCAACCCCAAAAAATTGGCTACGCTTCGCCCAGATACGCAGCACCCTCCTCCCCCCCTCCTAACCCACACACCACCCTTCCCCTGCATTCCCTTCCCTTTCCATCAGCACACCATTATCCTACATCCTACATCGTACATCCACCATCCACCGATTTCCTTCTGTGTGTTCCGCTGGACTTGTTTGGCTGCTGCCATGGCTGCTGGCTGGCGTACGTAATATTTTCACGAGTATTTTCAAGGAATACTCGCATTAAATTTTCAATAGTTTCCCATTCAGTGCAGTTCCTCGGACTGGCTGTCCGGTAAGCCCTGACTGCACTGTACAGTAAACCGTAAACTACTGACGAAACATAAAATGCAAAAATCGAAAATTTTCTTTTCTTTTCTTTTCTTTTCTTGCAACGAAAAGCCAAACAAAATAAATAAATGAACAAGAGAGACCAAAGAAGTTAATACCCTTTCAGATGGAATTATAACATGGTAAATGTGTGTAGCTGTGTGTTTCCACGGCATGTACATGCACACATACATACATGTATATGTATATGTTATAGTGCTCCAATCAGACTTACTTTCAACTGTAAGCATGCAGCAAAAAGAACCCCTTTTTATAAGGGCAAATAATTGCTTAAATCTACTCGTTTGTTGATGCCGATTCAGAATATACAGGTATGTATATACGGGATATATACACATACACATAACACTTTAGAATTTCCGCCATAAAGCGCTTCTTTTCTTGGCAAACATCTTATGAAAATCGTCAAACCCCACAGCAATGATATAAATATGGTTGAGCGGGAGTGAGTGGAGGGAGTGACTCAGGAATACATTTCAAGGCTGTAATTGTTTGTTCTCCCACTGCCCATGCCTCCCCACACTCTCTCTCATCTCTGTCTCTTTTTTTTTTGCCATCTCTATCTCGTTTCGTTTTGTTTTGTTTTGTTTTTCCCCCTCCCTATTTCTCACAGTCTGCTGGATGATGCTTTGTCTGCCTGTCAGGGTCTTTTGTTGCCTGAAATTGAAGTTGAAGCTTTGTGTTGCATTATCAGAGCCCTGCCGCCTCGGGAGGAGGAACCGTTATGCAGCAGGCGAGCCAGAAAGAAATCAAGAGAATTATAGAGAAGGAAAAGAGAGGGAGCGAGAGAGAGAGAGCGAGATAGTGTAACAGATAGATGGGGAAATAAAGATGCATCATACCAAAAAAAAAAAAGTAAAATGCCAGCAAAAATGTTTGCCAATTCCAAAAAAGAAATAATAAAAATAATCAAGCAACTTGTTTCAGCACACAGAAATATCTCTTATATTCCAAATATGGCCCTAAGAATTTACAATTATTCTCAAAAAAATATATAAAACTTTCTGTGCGTTGCAGGATGCCCCATTTTGGCCTTGGTGGTGCCACAAGCTGGGAGTGTGCATCCAGGGCACATGGGATTCACTAGAAATCTCCCGTATTCACATTGCATTTAATTATAATTAATCGGCAGCCTTCGTTCTTTTTCTTTGTGTAAACGCAGCCGTGGGCGGCCCGCGTCTGTGTCTCGTCTCTCGATTGAGTTGGAGATTCTTTTAATACATAAATTCCAAACTTTTGCCCAACTTGTCACCTGCGAGGTGGAAACTTTGCTGGCAAGACTTTTGGCAGTAGACCTGGGCTTGGGCTCTGAGACCTAGCACCCGGACAAACTTGGCCCATAAGCATAAGTGTAATTAAATTTACGCCTACCACGTGGCCCTACTTCTATCCCTGGGCTCCACTTGAGAACCTACAGCGCCAGCTCACACTCCACCTTGTTGCCACTCCTGCCCCAGAGCCAGAGCAGCTCCCTTGCCTCGGCACTCCTCGTCCTACTGCTGTCACTGAAGGGGCCTTGAAAGTGTGTGGGCTTTGATTTTCTCACGACGATAAAATCAAAGCAAAAGACAGACAATATTGTTGGTTATTCAGAGCCTGAATCGGGAGTGTGGGTGTGTTGGTGTGTGTGTGTGGCTGTGGCTCTGTCAATATCGATATGGGTCTGGCAGTTGTCTTCTCTCCTGGGATTCCACGCTAATTCACTCGAGCGGTACCAACACAATTAATTGCTGACATTCTGGCAATAACCAGTCGATCTGTACACCTCACCGACATGTGTGACATTGATACATTGGTCTCATATATATTTCACTAGGACTCTCTTCACGTGGAGATGTCTGGTCAAATATGCACATAAATTACGAACGAAATCGGAATCGGAATCAGGCTCTGGGCTGTGGGGCTGCCTTCCAGCTGCTTGGCTGCCCAACGATTCAATTAAATGGCCCCAGAACCTAATCAGGCGCAAAACCACAGAAAACGTCTCGATTAACCGGCAGTCGGGAGTACATTTTGGGGGCCAGAGGACATCACCTCGACCACACAGACACAAAATGGGCCTTTGCCCCTGTCCCGTGCCTGTTCGGGTTTCACCTGACTTAAAAGTTGTGAAGTCCTTCCCGCCTGTCTGGCAGCCTATTTAAAGGCGGTTTTGCTTGTAGTTCATATTTTCATGGCGCTCTTTGCTAAGTAGCATTGCGGCCATCATACTTATTGTTGAGCCGCAAACAAGCTGCGGCTTTGAGCCTCAACTTGTTCCCTCCTGACATTGACAGGCGGCAAGGCGTGGCACTCGCAGGGGCGGTGGCATGAGGGAAAAGTTTCGGCAACAGCCAGAATCAGAATCAGAATCAAAACCATTCACTTTGCAAATGCTCTGCGGACATGTCAAAACCATTTACCAATTGCACTCGAATGGGGCTGGGGAATGGGACTGGGAAATGGGCGAAAATAGAGCGGAAGGTAATTGTAATTGTAATTAATTTGGCAGCCAAATAACGTACCGCACAAAGTGGAAATCTGTTTGAGTACTTCGAAATACAGCGGAGTGGAGAAAGCATTAAATTCCAATTTAATGTGATTGATTCGTGGCAATGTTGCAATGCCCCGCGAACAACAGACACACAGTGGCAGACAGAGTGGCAGCTACTAGAAGATACCCCATCAATAACCGCAATGTGCCATAAGAGAGTGGCAAGGTAGCCTCTTCCTGTTTTTTAGAGTGCCCCAATAACAGCCAAAAGTTACTTTAAAATTTATGCTTTAACCCAATTTCCGTTCAAGTAAGAGATAAAGAGAAAGAGCGGAATGGAGAGCTCCGCTCGCTTAGAGATCCTGTTCGTGGATGTGCTTGCGACCCTTCCATTCCTGATAGGGCACCAGGCTGGCCTTGTTCGGTACCACGACTACCACGGGCAGCATATTTTTGCACTTTTCCAACACTAGTTTGAGCCGCTTGTTCGTTTGAAAGTCGAGTATGATGATCCCAAGGTTGTGCATCTTGTACAGATGCTCGAAGAAGTTCTCGATCTCCTCCTGGGACGTGTCTGCAAGGAAGAGGAGAGGAGAGGACTAATGGGGGCAGCGGCAGACAATGGCTACTCACCGTCGTGCACCATCAGGTAATTGTTAAGATTGTCCCGACGGAAGCCAATGCCAGCCAGCAGAAACCCCAAGGTTACCTCCTGTCAGAAAAAGAAATTAATGCACTCAACCTGAACCGTGTGGGTACAGCAAATGTTGGGCCTACGGTATCTGCAATGATCCCAATGGTAAAAATGCTCGGATCCTCAAGGATCACTGGAATTTTGCCCAGGTCAAGCGCACTTCCGTCGGCCGAAAGACCATCCGGGCTTTCCATACCCTTCAGCTGGCCCTTGCCCCTTTTATGGCCCGACGGTCGTCCCTTTGGTGGCATCTTTCTCTGTTTCTCTCTCTCTCTTCCTGTTTCTCCTGTCTATAACCAGACAAAATTGAAAACTCTCAGAGCTATCGTCAACGTTTTTGATTGAGAAATCAAAGCCAAGGAGTTGAATCAGTATCTGATGAGTTTTTAAGCAGCTCCGGGGAACTGTTTTATTTTTATAACTTTTTAATGAGTTTTCAATAAGACCTCAGTTTGTGTTCCATTCCCCCTAAAAGTACGGCTTAAGTTATAAGCTGACAGTCTTCGTTTTAGCCTCAATCCCAGTCCCAGTCCCCTGTCCCTCTGTTCCAACCCACACACACACATTGTTCAGCTCCATTCGGGTGACAAAATTAGTTTTTTATTTCGCATTTCTTTTTAATTATTCAGCCTGGTGCTGGTCCTTGGCTTCGGGCGGAGCTTTGACTCTGGCTCCCAGGACCAAAATGAAAATTCAATTATGACATGAGTTTACATATTTTGGTTTTTCTTCGGTGGGGTGAGGGTCGGCAAGGGGTCGGCAGGGGGTCGGCAGGGGAGTGTATGTTCTTCAGGAACTTATTAACTTCGACTTAAAGAGATTTTGGGCTCCACGCTACATTTTTTTTTGGTTTTTTCTCTACCTAAAAATAAGACGTAATGCTTAATCGAAAAGAGCTTTATGCTCGCTGAAAGTTGGCATTAATGAATGCCAAAGAACCGACCCTTTCAATATGTTGAGGCTAGAAATATTAAACAATAAACTAAAAAAAAATATATTAGCTTAAAATTTGCATACTTTTCGTCAGTCTCTATTAGGGAAGATTCGATTAATAAAATTACGTAAATAAAACAAAAAATAAAATAAACAATAAACTGACTCAATGTTGTCTGAGAAAATGTATATTTGAAGATATCGCATATTTGCCACACTAATTGCAGAGAATTGCATTCTATCTGTGCTGGAATGTAATCAAGAAATTCAATAGTACACAACAAATAAATTGTAAATTTCCCACAAGCCACTGAAATAACTCAATTAGTTATTATTGCTGTTATTGAGGCTGTTGAGCCGCCGTCAGAAACAGTTTTGAGTGAAATATTGTAAGGCCAAGTCTTGCGAATTGACTTATTGACTCGAGTGCTCTGCTCGAAAATTAAACATTAATCAGCAGTAGAAAAGCAATCATTGAGGGAGCAGCACTGAAATGGCTTTAAAATTGTATACTTTGTACAATTTATTCTGCAGACACACACACACAGAGAGACTGGCAACCTGCCAACATGCCCGGGTAACCATGCAAATCTGTGGCATGGCATGGCTGACAATCGGAGACTGACAGACGGAAAGCCAGACGCAGACCGACCAAATTATTGTGTTCAGTGTGAATAATGCGTTAGCCATGACAAGGGTATCGGGGCTGCGATGCAGGCCTCGGCGGAAACCGGAAGAACACACACACACCCATTGTCCATAGATACACGCCAGGACAGACACAGAGACTGAGAGTCAGATGATAGTCGACTGGTGAATGCCGCGGATAAGTATGTGTGGAACATGGTTTTGCTTTTGCATACCCTTTGGGCCAGCAGCAATTGCCGACGCGTACCACACACCCACACACCCGCTGCCACATGTGCATTCCCAAGGATCCAAGTCAAACACGGACTGGAGCTGGCAACTCAAGCAAAGGAATTTGTGTGTGGGGGCGGTCAGAAATTGTTGTAAATTTAATCGGAATGGATTTGTATATGGGAATTTATCAAAGTGAATTGAGGCAACGGTACCATGCCGTTTATTGTGCACAAATCTGCCATTTCTTCTGCTATATTTGTGTGTTATTTTTCACTATTATTTATTCCCCAACTTTTATCTTTGCAGTTTTTTGTTGTCTAACATCCAAGGTCCGATGCTCACATGATGGCCGAAAGAACGATCAATTGGGCCATGGATGCCGAGATGGGCATGATTAAGCTCAAGTAAGTAACCAAATGTAAATATTTTAGCCAGTGCAATAATTAGAGTACTTACAGTACATACATACTATTTAGTATATATGTACATACATTAAGTAGTATGTAGAATTATTTTAATTTAACTTTGCATGTTTATACCCCTTTTTTTATGCTTATTTCATTTGATATTTTCGTTCTTTATGCAAAAATAAAATATAACAAATGTATTTAAGTTTTAACAGCTATGAAAATAAGCAACAAAAATCTATCCAGATATTTCCGATTCCAAATACCTAACTCCATTTTGAAGCAACCTCACCAGACGGATGAAACTTTGTACAGATCCTTAAATTATTGTTTAATTTTTAATTAAATTTCGTATACCGATTTTCACTAATAGTAAAAGCTTCGGCAGCCGAAGAACCCCTACCCATAGCCCGTTTATGCGTAGCTTTGTTCCTTTTCCAATTGAATTTTACAGAAAGAAATGGATTCTCAAGAGTATTTTGTTTGCTATTTGCATTTGCCTTTAACGTACCTATATAAATGTAGATTCTGTACTATTTTGCGAGTCAGAAAAACTGTGTAGCTGGGAGAGAATTAATCGTAGGGGTCTTCTCACGTACTGCCCACTGCTGAACACCAGCAGAATACCAGGTGCAATGATTGCAGCTGGAAATCGAACCCAATATCATTCACACTCACTGGGCAAAGGCCAATGATGATGGCAGAGCTGAAAGGGTGAAAAAGAAAATTAATTATGACCATGTTGGCTGCGGCCAGCTCTCCGCTGGAAAGTGTTTTGCCGTGCAGCTCGTTTCAAAGGGAAAAGTTAAGTCTGTCTCCGCAAACACACACACACACACCATATACGAATATGTACACAGACATGTGCATATTGCAGCAGTTGCTGCAGCCATTACATTCGTCATGTACAACCGCTGGCGGTGGAGCGGGGCGGGGGCTGGGGTGCGCGTCCTTGTCGAGCTCATCCTTTCATCGACGAGCAGCGGAGGGGTGAGTGGAGAGCCACAAAGGCAGTGAAATTTTAATAACGGAACAAATCGTGTAAGCCGCCAAAAACCATTAATAACTTTTGTGCACCTGCACACGGCAGCAGCAGCAGTAGCAGCAGCTCTTTGCTCGGCTCACGGATCGTATACTTGATATCTCTGTTTGACTGTGCCAGATGTTTGCTCTGGTTTCACTCAGCCGTTCCTCTACTTCTCCTCCTTCTCCTCATCCTCATCCTCATGTTCCTTCTTTGCTTCCGTTTCGGTTTCGATTTCGATACCCTCCTCCTTGCTGCCCTGCTGCTCTGCGGTTCTGCTGCCACGCTGTGTGTGCGCGCGTATGTGCTCTTCGTTTTAATTATTGATTCCGCCATTGAAGTGATTAATATTTTCGGGCCAAAGTGCTGCCAGAGGACAGCAGTTAGCGGTGGTGTAGAGCAGCAGCCACTCGGCCAGGGGCTGCCCGAAAGCGATTGCCATTGATTGCTTTTCATTTTTGTTGTTGTTGTTGTTGTTGTTGGTGTTGGTGTTGGTGTGCTCCATAATTGCATTTCCTTGTTACGCACATTGTGTCCCTCAGTCCCAAAAGTCCACAGATTCGTGGCAACATTTTCACTGATTAAAAGAACATTTCCAAAAAAACACAAAAAAAAGGAAATAAAAGTGGCAATGCCAGCCGACATATCGACTATATGATACCCTCTGCTTGGGAATCAGTCGCTATCACAGCGGCTATCACTGGGCAATCGTTGCGGGGTAGTTCTCATCGTTGATGATGCGCTGAAGGTACGATTTGGGACAGACCCAGCCCACCCAGCACACACAGTTTTGGGGGAAAAGCATAACCCGAATCGCTTAATTACGGGCAATAGTCACACAACTGTGCCCAGGTCCTGGGAGATCCATCACGATGCTGAGAACGAGGCCATGCTCCAAAAAGTATGCAACAATTTGCTACACTCAAATGACAGTAGGTAGCCCTGGGTGGTACATGCCTGGGCAAACGTAATGCAGGGCTGGCTGCCATTCACGTGTGTGCGTGAATGTGGATGTGTGGGTGTTGGGTGTTGGTGAGGCATTCATTTTGGGGCAGGGCCAAAGGCATCAATCTTCCTCCATCATTGTCAGTGGCCGATGACGATGGCGAAACAAGAGCAGAAACAGAAACAGCAACCCACAGTATCTGCAAGGCATATCCTCACTCTCTCTCCCGCTCTCTCTCTCTCACTCTCTCTCGCTGCCTCGACTGTGTCTCCCGCAGCTTCCTTTTCACATTTCTCATTTCCGTAGCCACCCATTTTGCTCCTCCATCTCCCCCCTTGGGGCAGGCAATACAAAGTAAATGAAATATCATCGCCTGGCTGTCACTTCATAATTTTGAAAGCGAAATGAAGCGACTTCTCGCATACACATATACGGGTATAATTCTATATTTATGTATGTATGTATATGCATATGTGTATATTTACCTATATACATATATTCCCTATACAATATTTGTAATTTTTTCTTCCTGTTTTGGGCATGTCAATGAAGGCACCTTGCGTAATAAATTAATTATTTATTCGCATCGCCATCAATATTGTTTTATACAATTTCCTCAATTTTGTCCACAACACAAAAAAAAACAAGAGACGAAAAGAAAGATGGAAAATTGGCCAAAACCATTTATCAAAATTTACAGCAGGCTTTTGGGTGTTGGGTGCGGGGGAATGAATGCTGCATGAATATTTCAAACATTACTTGACCATCGTTCGGACTAGGTTGTCCCTGGCCACCCCCCACTCATAATTCTAATGCAATAATTCACTCATCTCTGTGCTGGATGCATAAACAAATTGAAAAACTTTCAGTCGGACCAACTTCTGCCTGGCTTTCCATTTCTTTCACCTGTTTTAGAAGTGCCCAAGGCGACCACAGACAGAGATGAGTCGCCCTTACCACACACACACACGCACATGTTTCTGTGTAGTTGTAGTATTTGAACAATTTTACGTTGAAAGTTTTGCGTATTACGTTTTCCGCCAGCCAGAACTGCCAGTTTCAAAGTGTGTTTGGCCAACAGAAACCACAAGAAAAAAAACAAGAAAAAAATCAGCAGATGGAAGATGGAAGAGAAATGAGAATTTTCAGAAAATTTAAGACAAGGGTCTAATCCCAGCAGTTGAAGATTTTATTGGCTTGCCTTTGTTTTGTTTGTTTGGCTGTGTCTTTGTCTTTGTCTGTCCCTGTGTCTGTGTCTGTGCAAGATGAATTGGCTGCGTGCAGCATATGCCTCAGTGTTGGTAAACCTCGTGCTCAACTGAAAGTTGTGCGATAAAAATGTTGGGCAAATTTGCAGAGGGTTGCCAACAAAAGAAAAGAACAAAACAAAAAAAAGCAGAAGTGCAAACTAAAGTTTTGGGGTATCTTTTACCTGGCAAATTGAAGCCAAAGGAGAGCAAACAACACACAACGCAAAACTCACTCACTCGGTGTATCACGCTCTCTCTGTTACACCTGCACTCTCCTCGCCCAACAGTGCTTCATTTTTCCACTTGAGTATTGGTAAACATTTGTGGATGGAACTTTTTGGTAATACCAGCAACGCCTCCCCGCCCCACTACCACCACTAAAATTATTCCAAACTTTGAGAATCACTTTCGCTTTGTTTTGCAGAAGTTGCTTCGGATGAAAGTGATTTCGGAGAGCACAGTATTCGCCAGCCTCTGGAATTCTCGTGTGTCAGTGTTGAATAGCGTTGGGCTGGCATAAAAGTGGCTTAAACTAGAATGTAAATGCCCAAATGCCACAAGAAAGTTGTGTCTGATGTGGTACATTTTGGAGAGCAACCCTAATGACACCTTGAAAACTTTAGTTCATTTGTCTTGCCACTCTTGCAGTGTTGGAAAACCACCTGCTTTAAAGTAGCTTTCATTTTGCTGATTCAAACCTTTTCTCTGAGCAGCTTTGCTAATGTGAACTATTCTTATTCTGCACCGCAAAACATTTCCGGATGAAATGTGGTCCCAAGACCGTTCATCCCGCTTCCCTCCAGGTGAATGCTTCCCTGCAGCTTCGCCCTAAAGTTCTTTTGAAGTAATGGCAAAAGTTCGTCTTGGCTAACTACTCATACTAACTACTGAACTACTTAAGCTAAGCCCTAGTCAGAATTCGAATCCTAATGGACGCCTCCCCCCACACGCCAGCAGTGAAGCACACCACCCCCTGACCGTGCAGTGTTGGGTAAGTGCCGAGCATATGTGCGCACTTATACGATTGCTCGCAATGAACTGCAAATAATGTATACACATATGTAATGAACTCTGAATTTAAAATGCAGCTCTCACAGTGCTGAGCAGCTAATTGAACTGTGTGCCAACAATTTCACACGGGCATAAATTTGTACAGCTCGCAGACACTCGGCGGGGCCCTCGCACTCGCACCGCCAGCCCCTCGCCTCTCACCACTCGCCACCATTCAAGCCCCACCCATGGTGGACCGTAGCTATGGTTTTCGCTTTTCGGTTTAAGGTTTTGCTCTGCTCGCTCACCTGACACGGACCATTTTTGTATACAATTTGAAATTTTTGTTTACGCTCGAGCTTAGGGCACACGCTGTACAAACACAGAGACCAAAGCGACCCCGCAGGGTGCTTTCAGCCCCCAAATTCAACGAGCGTTCTGCTGCTGTACATACATACATAAATATTTCTATCAAATTTCAATTTGTTCCAAAATTTTTTCTCGTTTCCAGCATTTGTTTGGGGGTTGATGATGATGAAGTAGGTGAGACGGGGACCGGTGACCGGGGACAGGGGTATGTCCATGAGACATAATTAAGCCGCATCTCAAAAAACTTCTGGCGAAAGCCCACAAAATCCCCGGCCAAGAGGCTGTCGTAATTAGAAATCTAAAAAACAAGGCGCCTCTTCACAGTGGAGAGAGAAGAGGAGAGCGAAGGACGGGAAACAAAAATGGGAAAAATGATTTAAGTAAAAACAAATACAAAGCTACGGCATCAGTATCGGTT